CCGCCCCTCGCCGTCTGCATGGCCAATCACAACCCTGCCCCATAGCCGCACCCCCCCCACCTGACCACGCCTCCTTGATGCAACCCATCCAATCACAGCCTTGCTCGTTAAGTCCACGCCCCCGTTTTTGACCCCCCCCCCCCCCCAAGGGGTGGAGCCATAGCAGGACACACCCCATCTGCTATGGGGGTCTATGTGGGTCTATGGGGCGCTATGGCGCACTATGTGGGTCTATGTGTGGCTATGTGGGGCTATGTGGGGCTATGTGGGGCTATGGGGTGTTATGGGGCGCTATGTGGGTCTATGTGGGTCTATGGGGCGCTATGGGGCACTATGTGGGTCTATGGGGCACTATGTGGGTCTATGTGGGTCTATGTGGTTCTATGGGGCGCTATGTGGGTCTATGGGGCACGATGGGGCACTATATGGGTCTATGTGGGTCTATGGGGCGCTATGTGGGTCTATGTGGGTCTATGGGGCGCTATGGGGCACTACGGGGCACTATGTGTGTCTATGTGGGTCTATGGGGTGCTATGGGGCGCTATGGGGCACTATGTGGGTCTACATGGGTCTACGTGAGTCTACATGGGGCTATGTGGGTCTATGTGGGTCTATGGGGTGCTATGGGGCACTATGGGGCACTATGTGGGTCTATGTGGGGTCTATGTGGGTCTATGGGGCGCTATGGGGCACTATGTGGGTCTATGTGGGGTCTATGTGGGTCTATGTGGGGCGCTATGGGGCACTATGTGGGTCTATGTGGGTCTATGTGGGTCTATGGGGCACTATGTGGGTCTATGTGGGTCTATGTGGGTCTATGGGGCGCTATGGGGCACTATGTGGGTCTATGTGGGTCTATGTGGGTCTATGTGGGGCGCTATGGGGCACTATGTGGGTCTATGTGGGTCTATGGGGCGCTATGGGGCGCTATGTGGGTCTATGTGGGTCTATGTGGGTCTATGGGGCACTATGTGGGTCTATGGGGCGCTATGTGGGTCTATGGGGCACTCTATGGGTCTATGTGGGTCTGGGGCACCTCTCTTGTCCTTTTGGGCCTTGTGGGAGCCTCGGGCCGGGGCTTCCGGGGGGCTGCGAGGGGGAGACGGCGCCGGGGGGGGCTCCTCAGCCTTGGAGATCTTGGAGACGGAGGCGAAGATGCCTGCGGGAGAGCAACAGGGACCAGTACGGACCAGTACAGACCAGTAGGGACCAGTATGGAGCAGTATGGACCAGCATAGACCAGTATGGACCAGTATAGACCAGTATGGAGCGGTATGGAGCGGTATGGACCAGTATGGAGCAGTATAGACCAGTATGGAGCAGTATGGAGCAGTATGGACCAGTACGGAGCAGTATGGACCAGTATGGACCAGTATGGACCAGTATGGAGCAGTATGGACCAGTATGGAGCAGTATGGACCAGTACGGAGCAGTATGGACCAGTATGGACCAGTACGGACCAGTATGGACAGTATGGACCAGTACAGACCAGTACGGACCAGTATAGACCAGTATAGACCAGTATGGAGCAGTATGGAGCAGTATGGAGCGGTATGGAGCGGTATGGACCAGTACGGACCAGTACGGACCAGTACGGAGCAGTATGGAGCAGTATGGAGCAGTCCAGGTCACTATGCCCCAGTATGTCCCAGTCCAGGTCAGTATGGTCCACTCTGCCCCACTCCTCCCCACTGAGCCCCACTCCCCCCCCCTCCACCCCACTCTGCCCCAGTCCTTCCCAGCCCACCCCACTCCACCCCACTGCCCCCCCCTCCATCCCACTGCGCCCCACTGAGCCCCATTCCCCCCACTCTGCCCCACTGAGCCCCATTCCCCCCACTCCACCCCACTCCTCCCCACTCTGCCCCACTCCCCCCGCTCTGCCCCACTCCTCCCCGCTCCTCCCCACTCCTCCCACCCCACTCCACCCCACTCCTCCCCCCCACTCCTCCCCACTGAGCCCCACTCCCCCCCACTCTGCCCCACTCCCCCCGCTCCTCCCCACTGAGCCCCACTGAGCCCCACTCCCCCCCCACTCTGCCCCACTGAGCCCCACTGAGCCCCACTCCCTCCCACTCCTCTCCACTCTGCCCCACTCCCCCCTCCTCCCCACTCTGCCCCACTGAGCCCCACTCCCCCCACTCCTCCCCCCACTCCTCCCCACTGAGCCCCACTCCCCTCCTCCACCCCACTCCACCCCACTCCTCCTACCCCACTCCACCCCACTGTGCCCCACTCCGCCCCCCTCCACCCCACTCCCCCCACTCCGCCCCACTGAGCCCCACTCCCCCCCCACTCCCCCCCACTCTGCCCCACTCCCCCCCACTCTGCCCCACTGAGCCCCACTCCTCCCCCTCCACCCTGCTCCACCCCACTCCCCACTCCCCCCCCACTCCTCTCCACTGAGCCCCACTCCCCCCCACTCCCCACTCCTGCCCACTCTGCCCCACTGAGCCCCACTCCCCCCCCTCCACCCCACTCCTCCCCACTCCCCCCCCACCCCACTTCCCCCCACTCCACCCCACTGAGCCCCACTGAGCCCCACTCCCCCTCCCCACTGAGCCCCACTGAGCCCCACTCCCCCCACCCCACCCCACTCCCCACTCCTGCCCACTCTGCCCCACTGAGCCCCACTCCCCCCTACTCCGCCCCACTCTGCCCCACTTCCTCCCACCCCACTCCCCCCACTGAGCCCCACTCCCCCCCACTCCCACCCCACCCCATTCAGCCCCACTCCCCCCCACCCCACTGTGCCCCCCCCCGCCCCCCCGTGCCCCCTTACCCTGCTTGGGGGGGCAGATGAAGTACCGGACCCCCCCCACGCTGCCGTCGTTCTTGCCCTCGGGCTCGTCCAGCTCCACCCCCGCCCACTGCCCGCTCGCGAAGGCCGTGGTGCCGCAGAACCGCAGCGTCCCCACCTGCGGAGCACAGGGGGGGACCCCAAAACGTGGGGGGGGGACCCCAAAACAGGGCTCAGGGACCCCAAAACAGAGCTCAGGGACCCCCAAACAGAGCTCAGGGACCCTGAAACAGAGCTCAGGGACCCCCAATATGGGAGAGGGGACCCCAAAACAGGGCTCAGGGACCCCGAAACAGAGCTCAGGGACCCTGAAACAGAGCTCAGGGACCCCAAAACAGAGCTCAGGGACCCCAAAACAGAGCTCAGGGACCCCCAATAGAGCTCAGGGACCCCAAAACAGAGCTCAGGGACCCCAAAACATGGGGGGGGGACCCCAAACAGAGCTCAGGGACCCCAAAACAGAGCTCAGGGACCCCAAAACAGAGCTCAGGGACCCCAAAACAGAGCCCAGGGACCCCAAAACATGGGGGGGGGGACCCCGAAACAGAGCCCAGGGACCCCCAATATGGGAGAGGGGACCCCGAAACAGAGCCCAGGGACCCCAAAACAGAGCTCAGGGACCCCAAAACAGAGCTCAGGGACCCCCAATATGGGAGGGGGACCTCAAACAGAGCTCAGGGACCCCGAAAAAGGGAATGGGGACCCCGAAACAGAGCTCAGGGACCCCAAACAGAGCTCAGGGACCCCGAAACAGAGCCCAGGGACCCCGAAACAGAGCTCAGGGACCCCAAAACAGAGCCCAGGGACCCCGAAACAGAGCCCAGGGACCCCGAAACAGAGCTCAGGGACCCTGAAACGGGGGGGGACCCCAAAACAGAGCTCAGGGACCCCCAATATGGGAGAGGGGACCCCAAAACATGGGGGGGGGACCCCAAACAGAGCTCAGGGACCCCAAAACAGAGCTCAGGGACCCTGAAACAGAGCTCAGGGACCCCAAACAGAGCTCAGGGACCCCAAAACAGAGCCCAGGGACCCCAAACAGAGCTCAGGGACCCCAAATAGAGCCCAGGGACCCCGAAACAGAGCTCAGGGACCCCAAAACAGAGCCCAGGGACCCCGAAACAGAGCTCAGGGACCCCGAAACAGAGCTCAGGGACCCCGAAACAGAGCTCAGGGACCCCAAAGAGGGGATGGGGACCCCGAAACAGGGGAGGGGGACCTCAAACAGAGCCCAGGGACCCCGAAACAGAGCTCAGGGACCCCGAAACAGAGCTCAGGGACCCCCAATATGGGATGGGAACCCCAAATAGAGCTCAGGGACCCCAAAACAGAGCTCAGGGACCCCAAAACAGAGCCCAGGGACCCCAAAACAGAGCTCAGGGACCCCGAAACAGAGCCCAGGGACCCCAAAACAGAGCTCAGGGACCCCAAAACAGAGCTCAGGGACCCCGAAACAGAGCTCAGGGACCCCAAAACAGAGCTCAGGGACCCCAAAACAGAGCTCAGGGACCCCGAAACAGAGCTCAGGGACCCCAAAACAGAGCTCAGGGACCCCGAAACGTGGGGGGGGGGACCCCAAAACAGAGCTCAGGGACCCCAAAACAGAGCTCAGGGACCCCGAAACAGAGCTCAGGGACCCCGAAACAGAGCCCAGGGACCCCGAAACAGAGCTCAGGGACCCCAAAACGGAGCTCAGGGACCCCCAATATGGGAGGGGGACCTCAAACAGAGCTCAGGGACCCCGAAACAGGGAATGGGGACCCCAAAACAGAGCTCAGGGACCTCAAAACAGAGCTCAGGGACCCCGAAACAGAGCTCAGGGACCCCAAAACAGAGCTCAGGGACCCCGAAACAGAGCTCAGGGACCCCGAAACATGGGGATGGGGACCCCAAAACAGAGCTCAGGGACCCCGAAACATGGGGGGGGGACCCCAAAACAGAGCTCAGGGACCCCAAAACAGAGCTCAGGGACCCCGAAACGTGGGGGGGGGGACCCCAAAACATGGGGGGGGGACGACCCCAAACAGAGCTCAGGGACCCCAAAACAGAGCTCAGGGACCCCAAACAGGGGATGGGGACCCCGAAACGGGGGGGGGGGGACCTCAAAACAGAGCTCAGGGACCCCAAACAGAGCTCAGGGACCCCAAACAGGGGATGGGGATCCTGAAACATGGGAGGGGGACCCCAAAACAGAGCTCAGGGACCCCAAAACAGAGCCCAGGGACCCCAAACAGAGCTCAGGGACCCCAAAACAGAGCCCAGGGACCCTGAAACAGAGCTCAGGGACCCCAAACAGGGGATGGGGACCCCGAAACAGGGGAGGGGGACCTCAAACAGAGCCCAGGGACCCCAAAACAGAGCTCAGGGACCCCGAAACAGAGCCCAGGGACCCCAAAACAGAGCTCAGGGACCCCAAACAGAGCTCAGGGACCCCAAAACAGGGGATGGGGACCCCGAAACAGAGCTCAGGGACCCCAAAACAGAGCCCAGGGACCCCGAAACATGGGGGGGGGACACACCTCAAACAGAGCTCAGGGACCCCAAAACAGAGCTCAGGGACCCCAAACAGAGCTCAGGGACCTCAAAACAGAGCTCAGGGACCCCAAACAGAGCTCAGGGACCCCAAATAGAGCTCAGGGACCCCAAACAGAGCTCAGGGACCCCAAAACAGAGCTCAGGGACCCCAAAACAGGGGAGGGGGACCCCGAAACATGGGGGGGGACCCCAAAACAGAGCTCAGGGACCCCAAACAGAGCTCAGGGACCCCAAAACAGAGCTCAGGGACCCCAAAACGTGGGGGGGGGGGACCCCAAACAGAGCTCAGGGACCCCGAAACATGGGGGGGGACCCCAAATAGAGCTCAGGGACCCCAAAACAGAGCTCAGGGACCCCGAAACAGAGCTCAGGGACCCCAAACAGAGCTCAGGGACCCCGAAACAGAGCTCAGGGACCCCAAATAGAGCTCAGGGACCCCAAAACAGAGCCCAGGGACCCCGAAACAGAGCTCAGGGACCCCAAAACAGAGCTCAGGGACCCCAAACAGAGCCCAGGGACCCCGAAACAGAGCTCAGGGACCCCAAACAGAGCCCAGGGACCACAAAACAGAGCTCAGGGACCCCAAAACAGGGGATGGGGACCCCAAAACAGAGCCCAAAGCACCCCAAAACAGGGCCCAGGGACCCCAAAACCCAGCCCCAAGCACCCCATACCCTATACCCCATATCCCATACCCCACACCCCCCCTACCCCACACCCCCCACACCCCACATCCCCCACCCCCCATACCCCACACCCCATGCCCCACACCCCATACCCACACCTCACACCCCATACCCATACCCCATCACCCACATCCCACACCCCACACCCCATACCCCACACCCCATACCCACACTCCCACCCCCCATATCCCACACACCCCATAACCCCATACCCCACACCCCCCATAGCCCACCCCCCATATCCCACACCCCATATGCCCCATAACCCATACCCCACACTCCCCACACCCCACACCCCATACCCCACACCCCCCATACCCCATACCCCACATCCCACACCCCATACCCCCCATACCACACCCCATATGCCCCATGACCCATACCCCACACCCCCCCTACCCCACACCCCACACCCCCCACACCCCATACCCCATATCCCACACCCCACACCCCACACCCATACCCCCCATACCCCCACCCCCCACCCCATATCCCCATACCCCACCCCATACCCCATATCCCATACCCCACCCCACACCCCACACCCTCCACACACCCCCCCATACCCCATACCCCACACCCCCCCACACACACACCCCACACCCCCCATACCCCACAGCCCACATCCCCCACCCCCCATACCCCCCATACCCCCCACATCCCACACCCCCCACACCCCATACACCCCATAACCCATACCCCACACCCCATATCCCATACCCCATACCCCACACCCCCACCCCATATCCCATACCCCCCACACCCCACATCCCCCACCCCCCACACCCCACCCCATACCCCATACCCCACACCCCCCCCCCACACACACCCCACCCCCCATACCCCACACCCCACAACCCCCATATCCCACACCCCACACCACATACCCCATACCCCACACCCCACACCCCATACCCCATACCCCATACCCCATATCCCATACCCCATACCCCATGTCCCATACCCCATATCCCATGCCACATACCCCATACCCCACACCCCACACCCCATACCCCACACACCCCATACATCCCATACCCCATATCCCACACCCCATACCCCACACCCCCCATACCCCATATATCCCATACCCCACACACCCCATACATCCCACACCCCATACCCCACACCCCCCATACCCCACACCCCATACCCCACACCCCATACCCCACACCCCCACCCCCATACCCCACACCCCCCATACCCCACACCCCATATCCCACATACATCCCATACACCCCACACCCTCTACACCCCATATAACCCATACCCCATACCCCACACACCCCACACCCCACATCACTACCCCACACCCCACACACCCCATATCCCACCCCATACCCCATATCCCACCCTATATCCCATACCCCATAATAACCCCATATCCCACATCCCATAATAACCCCATACCCCATAACCCCATACCCCATATCCCACACCCCACCCCCCCCACACCCCACCCCCCCCACACCCCCCCATACCACACCCCCCACACCCCATATACCCCCCAACGACACACCCCCCATACCCCACATCCACACCCCACACCCCATATCCCACACCCCACACCCCCCACACCCCCCGCTCTCACCTTTCCCCCCTGCAGCCTCACTCTGTCCCCCAGCTGCATGCCGAGGCAGAGCAGGACGCTGTTCCCGGGCAGGTTATCGTAGTTGGGCAGGGTGACCCTGGGCAGGCTGCAGCTCAGGGGCACCGCTTCCTCCAGCAGCCGCCGCAGCTCCCGGGCCACCAACGCCGCCTCCGCCTTGTCCAGGGCCATGTCCGTGGGGTCCGGGACCACCTCCGCCGCCACCTGACCCTTGCTGTTCTGGGGGGGTACACGGAGAGAGGGTTATGGGTGCTGTGGGGATGGGGAGGCGACGGGGAGGCTATGGGGAGCCTATGGGGAGCCTATGGGCACTATGGGGACTGGGGGCCTATGGGCACTATGGGGAGCCTATGGGCGCTGTGGGGACGGGGAGGCTATGGGGAGGCTATGGGGGGCCTATGGGGAGGCTATGGGCACTGTGGGGACGGGGAGGCTATGGGGAGCCTATGGGGAGCCTATGGGCACTATGGGGAGCCTATGGGGAGCCTATGGGCGCTGTGGGGACAGGGAGGCTATGGGGAGGCTATGGGCACTATGGGGACTGGGAACCTATGGGTACTATGGGGAGCCTATGGGCACTGTGGGGACAGGGAGGCTATGGGGGGCCTATGGGCGCTGTGGGGACGGGGAGGCTATGGGGGGCCTATGGGGAGCCTATGGGCACTGTGGGGACTGGGAGGCTATGGGGAGCCTATGGGCACTGTGGGCACTAGGGAGCCTATGGGCACTATGGGGACTGGGAGCCTATGGGTACTATGGGGAGCCTATGGGCGCTGTGGGGACTGGGGGCCTATGGGCACTATGGGGAGCCTATGGGCACTATGGGGAGCCTATGGGCACTATGGGGACTGGGAGGCTATGGGGAGCCTATGCGGAGCCTATGGGTGCTGTGGGGACTGGGAGGCTATGGGGAGCCTATGGGCGCTATGGGGAGCCTATGGGCACTATGGGCGCTGTGGGGACTGGGGGCCTATGGGCACTATGGGGAGCCTATGGGTACTATGGGGACTGGAGGCCTATGGGCGCTGTGGGGAGCCTATGGGCACTATGGGGACTGGGGGCCTATGGGTACTATGGGGACTGGGGGCCTATGGGGAGCCTATGGGGACTGGGGGCCTATGGGGAGCCTATGGGCACTATGGGGACTGGGGGCCTATGGGGAGCCTATGGGCACTATGGGGACTGGGGGCCTATGGGGAGCCTATGGGCACTATGGGGACTGGGGGCCTATGGGGAGCCTATGGGCGCTATGGGGACTGGGGAGCCTATGGGCACTATGGGGAGCCTATGGGCACTATGGGGACTGGGGGCCTATGGGGAGCCTATGGGCGCTATGGGTGCTGTGGGGACTGGGTGGCTATGGGGAGCCTATGGGCGCTATGGGGAGCCTATGGGCACTATGGGGACTGGGGGCCTATGGGGAGCCTATGGGCACTATGGGCACTACGGGGACTGGGGGCCTATGGGGAGCCTATGGGCACTATGGGGACTGGGGAGCCTATGGGCACTATGGGGAGCCTATGGGCACTATGGGGAGCCTATGGGCACTATGGGGACTGGGGGCCTATGGGGAGCCTATGGGCACTATGGGGACTGGGAGGCTATGGGCACTATGGGGAGCCTATGGGCGCTGTGGGGAGCCTATGGGCACTATGGGGAGGCTATGGGCGCTGTGGGGACTGGGAGGCTATGGGGAGCCTATGGGTGCTATGGGGACTGTGGGGACTGGGAGGCTGGGAGCCTATGGGTACTATGGGGAGCCTATGGGCGCTGTGGGGACTGGGGGCCCATGGGCACTATGGGGACTGGGAGACTATGGGCACTATGGGGAGCCTATGGGCACTATGGGGAGCCTATGGGCACTATGGGGACTGGGAGGCTATGGGGAGCCTATGGGTGCTATGGGGACGGGGACGCTATGGGGAGGCTATGGGCACTATGGGGACTGGGGGCCTATGGGGAGCCTATGGGCGCTGGGGGGACTGGGGGCCTATGGGCACTATGGGGACTGGGGGCCTATGGGGAGCCTATGGGCACTATGGGGAGCCTATGGGCACTATGGGGAGCCTATGGGCACTATGGGGACTGGGGAGCCTATGGGTACTATGGGGACTGGGGGCCTATGGGGAGCCTATGGGTGCTGTGGGGACGGGGAGGCTATGGGGAGCCTATGGGGAGCCTATGGGCACTATGGGGAGTGGGGGCCTATGGGCACTATACGGAGCTTATGGGCTCTATGGGGAGCCTATGGGCTCTATGGGGACTGGGGAGCCTATGGGTGCTATGGGGAGCCTATGGGCACTGTGTGGACTGGGGGCCTATGGGCGCTATGGGGTCTGGGGAGCCTATGGGTACTATGGGGACTGGGGGCCTATGGGGAGCCTATGGGCACTATGGGGACTGGGGGCCTATGGGTACTATGGGGACTGGGGGCCTATGGGGAGCCTATGGGCACTATGGGGACTGGGGGCCTATGGGCACTATGGGGAGCCTATGGGCACTATGGGGACTGGGGGCCTATGGGCACTACGGGGACTGGGGGCCTATGGGCGCTATGGGGAGCCTATGGGCGCTGTGGGGCCTGGGGGCCTATGGGCACTGGGGAGCCTATGGGCACTATGGGCACCAGGGAGCCTATGGGCACTACGGGGAGCCTATGGGCACTATAGGGACTGGGGAGCCTATGAGCACTATGGGGAGCCTATGGGCACTAGAGGGACTACGGAGCCTATAGACACTATAAGCACTATGGACCCTATAAACACTATAGACACTATGGACCCTATAGACACTATAGGCACTATGGACCCTATAGATACTATAGGCACTACAGACCCTATAGACACTACAGACCCTATAGACACTACAGACACTACAGGCACTACAGACCCTATAGACACTATAGGCAGTATGGACCCTATAGGCACTATGAACCCTATAGACACTATAGGCACTATGGACCCTATAAACACTATAGACACTACGGACCCTATAGACACTATAGGCACTATGGACCCTATAGATACTATAGGCAGTACGGACCCTATAGACACTATAGGCACTATGGACCCTATACATACTATAGGCAGTACAGACCCTATAGACACTATAGGCACTATGGACCCTATAGATACTATAGGCACTATGGACCCTACAGACGCTATAGGCACTATGGACCCTATAGATACTATAGGCACTATGGACCCTATAGACACTACAGACACTATAGGCACTACGGACCCCATAGACACTACAGACCCTATAGACACTATAGGCACTATGGACCCTATAGACACTATAGGCAGTATGGACCCTATAGACCCTATAGGTACTACGGACCATATAGACCCTATCGGTACTATAGGCGCTACTGACCCTATAGGCACTACGGACCCTATAGACACTATAGGTACTATGGACCCTATAGACCCCAGAGACACTACGGAACCTATAGACACTATGGAGCCTAGATCCTATAGGCACTACGGACCCTATAAACACTATAGGTACTATGGACCCTATAGACACTACAGACCCCAGAGACACTACAGAACCTATAGACACTATGGAGCCTAGAGACACTATGGACCCTATAGGCACTAGGGACCCTACAGCGCCTAGATACACTATGGACCCTATAGTGCCTATAGACACTACGGACCCTATAGCAATTATAGCCCCTACAGATCCTACAGACACTACAGACCCTATAGTGCCTATAACCCTTACAGACACTACGGACCCTATAGCCACTATAGCCCTTATAGCCCTATAGACTCCATAGACACTATAATCCCTACAGCACCTATAGACACTATGGACCCTATAGTCACTATAACCCCTACAGCACCTACAGACGCTATGGATCCTATAGACATCATAGGTCCCATAGCCATATAGACCCTATAAAAACTATAGCTCCTATAGTGCTTATGGACACCACAGCCCCTATAGATCCCATAGACACTACAGACCCTATAGCATCTATAAGCCCTATAGACCCTATAGCGCCTATAAACACTATGGACCCTAAAGCACTCCTATAGCCCCACATAGCTCCTATAGCACCTAATGCACTCCTACAGCCCCTATAACCCCTATAGCTACTATAGGTGCTAGAGTACCCGTAATACCTATATCCCCTACAACCCCCTATAGCCCCCTATAGTATCTATGTCCCCTATAGCCACCTATAGCCCCCATATAGCCTATAGTACCTATATCCCCTAGAACCCCCTATCCTCATATCCCCTATAGCCCCCTATAGTACCTATATTCCCTACAGCCCCCTGTAGCCCCCATATCCCCTATGGAGCCTATAGCTCTTATAGCCCTATAGCCCCCTATAATCCCCATATCCCCTACAGCCCCTAAAGCTCTTATAGCCCTATAGCCCCCTATAGTCCCCATATCCACTATAGCTCCTATAGCTCTTATAGCCCTATAGCCCCCATATCCCCTATAGCCCCTATAGCTCTTATAGCCCTATAGCCCCCATATCCCCTATAGCTCTTATAGCCCTATAGCCGCCATATCCCCTATAGCCCCTATAGCTCTTATAGCCCTATAGCCCCCATATCCCCTATAGTTCTTATAGCCCTATAGCCCCCTATAGTCCCCATATCCCCTGTACCCCCTAGAGCACTTATAGCCCTATCGCCCCCCATAGTCCCCATATCCCCTATAGTCCCTATAGCTCTTATAGCCCTACCGCCCCCATAGTCCCCATATCCCCTATAGCTCTTATAGCTCTTATAGCCCTATCGCCCCCCATAGTCCCCATATCCCCTATAGCCCCTATAGCTCTTATAGCCCTATAGCCCCCTATAGTCCCTATAGCTCTTATAGCCCTATCGCCCCCCATAGTCCCCATATCCCCTATAGCCCCCATAGCCCTATCGCCCCCCATAGTCCCCATATCCCCTATAACCCCCTATAGCTCTTATAGCCCTATTGCCCCCCATATCCCCCATATCCCCTATAGCCCCCATAGCCCTATTGCCCCCCATAGTCCCCATATCCCCTATAGCTCTTATAGCCCTATTGCCCCCCATAGTCCCCATATCCCCTATACCCCCTGTAGCTCTTATAGCCCTATTGCCCCCCATAGTCCCCATAACCCCTATAGCCCCTATAGCTCTTACAGCCCTATCGCCCCCCATAGCCCCTATAGCTCTTATAGCCCTATAGACCTCTATAGTCCCTATAGCTCTTGTAGTCCTATTGCCCCCCATAGCCCCCATATCCCCTACAGCCACTATAGCTCTTATAGCCCTATAGACCCTATAGCTCTTACAGCCCTATAGCCCCCCATAGTCCCCATATCCCCTATATCCCCCATATCCCTATCGCCCCCCATAGCCCCCATATCCCCTATATCCCCCATATCCCTATCGCCCCCCATAGCCCCCATATCCCCTATATCCCCCATATCCCTATCGCCCCCCATAGTCCCCATATCCCCTATATCCCCTATAGCTCTTACTGCCCTATAGCCCCCCATAGCCCCCCATATCCCCTATATCCCCCATATCCCCATCGCCCCCCATAGTCCCCATATCCCCTATATCCCCTATAGCTCTTACTGCCCTATAGCCCCCCATAGCCCCCCATATCCCCTATAGCTCTTATAGCCCTATCGCCCCCCGTAGTCCCCATAACCCCTATAGCCCCCTACAGATCTTATAGCCCCATATCCCCTATAGCCCCTATAGCTCTATCGCCCCCCATAGTCTCCATATCCCCTATAGCCCCCATAGCTCTTATAGCCCTATCGCCCCCCATAGTCCCCATATCCCCTATAGCCCCCATAGCCCTATCGCCCCCCATAGTCCCCATATCCCCTATAGCTCTTATAGCCCTATCACCCCCCATAGCCCCCATAGCCCCTATAGCCCCTATAGCCCTACTGCCCCCATAGTCCCCATATCCCCTATAGCTCTTATAGCCCTATTGCCCCCCATAGTCCCCATATCCCCTATATCCCCCATATCCCTATTGCCCCCCATAGCCCCCATATCCCCTATATCCCCCATATCCCTATCGCCCCCCATAGCCCCCATATCCCCTATATCCCCCATATCCCTATCGCCCCCCATAGCCCCCATATCCCCCATATCCGCACCGCCCCCCGGAGCGCCCCATACCCGCATGGCGGGGTCGGCGCCGTGCTCCAGGAGGCAGCGCACGGCGCCCAGGCAGAGGTTGGAGGCGGCGATGTGCAGCGCGGTGCCGTGGCTGAAGTCACTGCAGGTGGAGTGCAGGACTGGGGGGGGGGAAAAGGGGGCACGGGGACCCCCGGAATGAGCCCGTGGGGGCACCCCAAGGGGTTCACCCCATGGAATCACCCCAATGGGAGCCCCATGGCATCACCCCATGGCATCAAACCCTAGGGGAGCCCCATGGAATCAAACCCTAGGGGAGCCCCATGGCATCACCCCATGGCATCACCCCATGGCATCACCCCAATGTCCTCTATGGGAGACCCATGGCATCACCCCATGGCATCACCCCTAGGGGAGCCCCACGGCATCACCCCAATGGGAGCCCCATGGCATCACCCCTATGTCCTCTATGGGAGCCCCATGGAATCACCCCAATGTGCTCACCCCTATGGAAGCCCCACGGCATCACCCCAATGGGAGCCCCATGGCATCACCCCTATGGGACCCCCATGGCATCACCCCAATGTCCCCTATGGGAGTCCCATGGCATCACCCCAATGGGACCCCCATGGCATCACTCCTATGGGACCCCCATGGCATCACCCCTATGGGAGCCCCATGGAATCACCCCAATGTCCTCTATGGGAGCCCCCATGGAATCACCCCTAGGGGAGCCCCATGGCATCACCCCAATGTGCTCACCCCTATGGGAGTCCCATGGCATCACCCCAATGTCCCCTATGGGAGCCCCATGGCATCACCCCAATGGGACCCCCATGGCATCACTCCTATGGGACCCCCATGGCATCACCCCAATGGGAGCCCCATGGCATCACCCCAATGTCCTCTATGGGAGCCCCCATGGAATCACCCCTAGGGGAGCCCCATGGCATCACCCCAATGTGCTCACCCCTAGGGGAGCCCCATGGCATCACCCCAATGTCCTCACCCCTAGGGGAACCCCCATGGCATCACCCCAATGTCCTCTATGGGACCCCCATGGTATTACCCCAATGTCCCCTATGGAAGCCCCATGACATCACCCCAATGTGCGCACCCCAATGGGAGCCCCATGGCATCACCCCAATGTGCTCACCCCAATGGGAGCCCCATGGCATCACCCCAATGTCCTCACCCCTAGGGGACCCCCATGGCATCACCCCAATGTCCCCTATGGGACCCCCACGGCATCACCCCAATGTCCTCACCCCTATGGGACCCCCACGGCCTGTGCCCACTGTGGCACCCCAATGTCCTTAACCCCTGGAGCCCCCCATCTCTTGTCCACATTGCACCCGATGTCCTCATCCCCTGTGGTACCCCCATGTCCTCTCCCCATGGACCCCAACGTCCTTATCCCTTGGGGACCCCCACGGCCTGCCCCTTTGAGGACCCCAATGCCCTGTCCCCATTGCACCCCACGGACCCCCTGCCCTCACCTCGGGGCGCTGCTGCCCGCAGCAGGGTGCGGATGAGCTCGGGGACGTCGAAGTAGGCGGCGTAGTGTAGGGCGTTCATGTGGGTCCAGCGGCTGCGCAGCGTCACGTCGCCCCCCAGCGCCAGCAGCCGCGTGGACAGGCGGACGGCGGCCGCGGGGTCCCCTATGGGGAGATGTGGGGCTGTGGGATATGGGGCTATGGGGTGCGGGATGTGGGGTTATGGGGCACGGGGACACGTACCCACGCCGTGGGCCCCGGCCTTGCAGGCGTAGTGCAGGAGTGTCATGTCCGTCAGGCCGTCACGGTCGTTCACGTGGCAGCCGCGGCGCAGGATCTGCCCCGGTTACACACCGGTTACACATCAGTTACACATTGGTTACACATCAGTTACACATCGGTTACACATCAGTTACACATCAGTTACACACCAGTTACACACCAGTTACACATCAGTTACACACCGGTTACACACCGGTTACACATCAGTTACACATTGGTTACACATTGGTTACACACTGGTTACACATCAATTACACACCAGTTACACACCGGTTACACACCGGTTACACATCAGTTACACACCGGTTACACATCAGTTACACACTGGTTACACACCAGTTACACATCAGTTACACACTGGTTACACATTGGTTACACACCGGTTACACACCGGTTACACACCGGTTACACACCAGTTACATCCCGGTTACACATCCGTTACACATCCGTTACACATCAGTTACACACTGGTTACACATGAGTTACACATCAGTTACACACCGGTTACACATCCGTTACACATCGGTTACACACTGGTTACACATCTGTTACACACCGGTTACACATCCGTTACACATCGGTTACACACCGGTTACACATCTGTTACACACTGGTTACACATCGGTTACACATCAGTTACACACCGGTTACACACCAGTTACACACCGGTTACACACCGGTTACACATCAGTTACACACCGGTTACACATCAGTTACACACCGGTTACACATCGGTTACACACCGGTAACACACCGGTAACACACCGGTTACACACCGGTAACACACCGGTTACACACCGGTAACACACCGGTTACACATCAGTTACACATCGGTTACACACCGGTTACACATCGGTTACACATCAGTTACACATCGGTTACACATCAGTTACACACCGGTTACACATCGGTTACACACCGGTTACACATCCGTTACACACCGGTTACACACCGGTTACACATCAGTTACACACCGGTTACACACCGGTTACACACCCGTTACACACCGGTTACACATCAGTTACACATCAGTTACACATCGGTTACACACCGGTTACACACTGGTTACACATCAGTTACACACCGGTTACACATCAGTTACACACCGGTTACACATCCGTTACACACCGGTTACACACCGGTTACACATCCGTTACACACCGGTTACACATCAGTTACACACCGGTTACACATCAGTTACACACCGGTTACACATCAGTTACACACCGGTTACACACCGGTTACACCATAGTTACATCCCAGTTACACACGCGTTACACATCAGTTACACCACAGTTACATACTACACACCAGTTACACCACAATAACACCCCAGTAAGGCACCACACACCAGTTACACCCTGGTTACGCACCAGCAGATACCAGTTACACACCAGATACACCCCAGTTACATACTACACAGCAGTTACACACCAGTTACACCCTAAGTACACACTAGGACACACCAGTTACACACCAGTACAAGCACTATATAGCAGTTACATACTAATTACACAGCAGTTACACCTCAAGTGGAAACCAGTACACCAGTTACACACCAGTACAACAGTTACACAGCAGTTACACACGAGTACAACTATAACACTAGTTACACACCACTATAACACCAGTTACACACAGGTACAACAACTGTGACACCAGTTACACAGAGGTACAACAGCTGTAACACCAGTTACACACCAGTTCCACCCCAGTTACACAGCAGTACCACAGCTATAACACCAGTTACACCCCAGTTACACAGCAGTACCACAACTATAACACCAGTTACACACCAGTTGCACACCAGTTGCACACCAGTTGCACAGCAGTACCACAGCTATAACCAGTTACAAACCAGTTACACACCAGTTACACAGCAGTACCACAACTATAACACCAGTTGCACACCAGTTACACAGCAGTACCACAGCTATAACACCAGTTACACACCAGTTACACCCCAGTTACACAGCAGTACCACAACTATAACACCAGTTGCACACCAGTTGCACACCAGTTACACAGCAGTACCACAGCTATAACCAGTTACACCCCAGTTACACACCAGTTACACAGCAGTACCACAGCTATAACCAGTTACACAGCAGTTACACAGCAGTACCACAGCTATAACCAGTTACACCCCAGTTACACAGCAGTACCACAGCTACAACCAGTTACACACCAGTTACACCCCAGTTACACAACTATAACACCAGTTACACACCAGTTACACACCAGTTACACAGCAGTACCACAGCTGTAACCAGTTACACACCAGTTACACCCCAGTTACACAGCAGTACCACAGCTGTAACCAGTTACACACCAGTACCACAGCTATAAGCAGTTCCACACCAGTTACACCCCAGTTACACCGCAGTACCACAGCTATAACACCAGTTACACCCCAGTCACACCCCAGTTACACACCAGTTACACCACTTACGCACCAGTTCCACACCAGTTACACCCCAGTTACACACCAGTCACACCACTTACGCACCAGTTCCACACCAATTACCCACCAGTATACCAGTCACCCCCAGGGGAACCCCATAGCACCCTGACCTCCTGACCCCTCACAGCACCCTGTCTCCCCATAGCACCCCACTGCACCCTGCCCCCCACAGCACCCCAAAGCCCCCTGCCCCCATAGCACCCCACAGCCCCCTGTCCCCCATACCACCTCGTATCCCCCTGTCCCCCACAGCACCCCACAGAACCCTGTCCCCCATAGCCCCCCAGCACCCTGACCCCCATAGCCCCCTGTCCTCCATAGCCCCCCATAGACCCATGTCCCCCATAGCCCCCCACAAAACCCTGTCCCACACAGCACCCCATAGCCCCGTGTCCCCCATAGCCCCCCGTGTCCCCCATAGCCCCCCACAGAAACCTGTCCACCATAGCCCCCCACAGAACCCTGACCCCCATAGCACCCCACAGAACCCCGTCCCCCATAGCCCCCCCCAGCACCCTGACCCCCATAGCCCCCCCCAGCACCCTGACCCCCATAGCCCCCTGTCCCCCATAGCCCCCCCCCAGCACCCTCTCCCCCATAGCCCCCCACAGCACCCTGTCCCCCATAGCCCCCCACAGAATCCTGTCCCCCACAGAACCCTGACCCCCATAGCCCCTCCCAGCACCCTGACCTCATAGCCCCCCACAGAACCCTGTCCGCCACAGAACCCTGTCCCCCATAGCCCCCCCCAGCACCCTGACCCCCATAGCCCCCTGTCCTCCATAGCCCCCCATAGCCCCGTGTCCCCCATAGCCCCCCACAAAACCCTGTCCCCCACAGCACCCCATAGCCCCCTGTCCCCCATAGCACCTCACAGTCCCCTGTGCCCCATAGCCCCCCATAGCCCTGTGTCCCCCATAGCCCCCCACAGAAACCTGTCCACCATAGCCCCCCACAGAACCCTGTCCCCCATAGCCCCCTGTCCTCCATAGCCCCCCATAGCCCCCTGTCCCCCATAGCACCCCATAGAATCCTGTCCCCCATAGCCCCCCACAGAACCCTGTCCCCCACAGGACCCCAAAGCCCCCTGCCCCCCATAGCACCTCACAGCCCCCTGCCCCCACAGCACCCCATAGCCCCCTGTCCCCCACAGCACCCCACAGAACCCTGACCCCCATAGCATCCCATAGCCCTGTGTCCCCCATAGCCCTGTGTCCCCCATAGCCCCCCACAGAAACCTGTCCCCCATAGCCCCCCACAGAACCCTGTCCCCCATAGCCCCCCCCAGCACCCTGACCCCCATAGCCCCCTGTCCTCCATAGCCCCCCATAGCCCCCCACAGAAACCTGTCCACCATAGCCCCCCACAGAACCCTGTCCCCCATAGCCCCCCCCAGCACCCTCTCCCCCATAGCCCCCCACAGAACCCTGACCCCCATAGCCCCCCCCAGCACCTCGTTGCCGATGAGGTCCACGTTGTGCTGCACCTGGGGCACCCACTGGCGCAGGATGGCGAAGAGCTGCGGCACCGTGGTGCTGGGGTCCAGCAGGATCTCCCGGCACGCAGCATCGTTGGGGTCGAAGAAGGTGAAGGCTGGGGGGGGGACGGGGGGGACACACATAAGGGGGGGGTATTGGGATACAAGAGGGAAGAGAAGGGGTGCCCCACGGTGCTCAACCCCATAGCAGCCATCAGAGAATCCCCACTTGGGACCCCATAAGGGTCCTTTGCCATGGGGGGGGGGAGTTTCTGTCCCTATGGGAGGACACCCCACGGTGCTCAACCCCATAGCAGCCATCAGAGAATCCCCACTGGCAGCCCTATAGGGGTCCTTTGCCATGGGGGGGGTGTGGGGTGTGTGTGTCTCTGTGACAAAGGGGGGGGGCCCTGTCCCCACTGAGCCCTGTTGTGTCTATGGGGCAGGCTCCGGTCCCCATAGTGTCTATGGGGGGGGGAGTCCCTGTCCCCATAGCGTCTATGGGGGGGGTCCCTGTCCCCATTAGGCCCCATTAAGGCCCCATTCTATGGGGGTGTCCCTGTCCCCACTGAACCCCATTATGTCTAGGGGGGGGGGGTCCCTGTCCCCGTTAGGCCCCATTAAGGCCCCATTCACCCCATGTTGGGGGGTCCCTGTCCCCATAGCGTCTATGGTGGGGGGGGGTCCCAGTCCCCATTAGGCCCCATTGAGGCCCCATTCTCCCCATGGGGGGGGATCCCTGTCCCCATTGCGTCTATGGGGGGGTCCCTGCCCCATAGTGACTATGGGGGGGAGGGTGCCTGTCCCCGTCAGGCCCCATTCAGGCCCCATTCTCCCCATGGTGGGGGGTCCCTGTCCCCATAGTGTCTATGGGGGGGGTCCCTGTCCCCGTTAGGCCCCATTCTCCCCATGGGGGGGGTCCCTCCCTGTCCCCATAGTGTCTATAGGGGGGGTCCCTGTCCCCACTGTGTCTATGGGGGGGAGGGTCCCAGTCCCCATTAGGCCCCATTCAGACCCCATTCTCCCCATGGCGGGGGGTCCCTGTCCCCATAGCGTCTATGGTGTGGGGGGGGTCCCTGTCCCCATTAGGCCCCATTCAGACCCCATTCTCCCTATGGGGGGGGGTCCCTGTCCCCATTCTCCCTATGGGGGGGCGTCCCTGTCCCCATTAGGCCCCATTCAGGCCCCATTCTCCCCATGGGGGGGGGTCCCTCCCTGTCCCCATAGTGTCTATGGGGGGGGTCCCTGTCCCCACTGTGTCTATGGGGGGGGAGGTCCCTGTCCCCGTTAGGCCCCATTGAGGCCCCATTCTCCCCATGGGGGGGGGGTCTCTGTCCCCGTTAGTTCCCATTGAGGCCCCATAAAGGCCCCATTCACCCCATGGGGGGGGGGGTCCCTGTCCCCATAGCGTCTATGGGGGTGTCCCTGTCCCCACTGAACCCCATTATGTCTATGGGGGGGGGTCCCTGTCCCCATTAGGCCCCATTGAGGCCCCATTCTCCCCATGGCGGGGGGTCCCTGTCCCCATAGTGTCTATGGGAGGGGGTCCCTGTCCCCATTAGGCCCCATTCAGACCCCATTCACCCCATAGGTGGGGGGTCCCTGTCCCCATAGCGTCTATGGTGGGGGGGGGGGTCCCAGTCCCCATTAGGCCCCATTCAGACCCCATTCTCCCCATGGCGGGGGGTCCCTGTCCC